ACTTTTAAAGGGAGGAAAAACTATAAGTAATGGCGCCATCATCTGTTGATGAATACGAAATACTTTAAAATATGACGTTCGCCGGAGGGCTAACGCTCGAAACGTCAGCCTTTGTAATCGTTACGGTGGCCAATTTACAATTTAAACTTTGTTGATATGTCCAAATTATTTTGTTACCCCCACCGACGCAGCCCCAAACAGTTTATTTCGAGACTATCTGCCTTTATTTACTTTAAAACATGCTTGGTACATCTTAGCTGGAATATTTTAACGAAGATATTTCTGCTACGGAGAGATCTGGGAAGTTCAGAGTAGAGCAGAAGAATCTAAAAAGGAAAGCGAAAGTCAAAAGCTATTTTTGCATGTGATACAAAACTTATCAATCTTGAAAATGAGCAAGGTAATGGAAACACAAAAGTCTGCTTCAATTCCTGAACGAAATATGCTGTGAAATGGGGATGAAATGTTCGAAATAACTTCTTTGGAAATTTACCTCTCTTGCATCTATTCACAGAGTAAAATTTGCAGAACTTTTTAATTGGTGATGAGACTAGGTCAACTGAAATGTTCTGAAAACATTATTTAAAAGGCCACATCTGGATCGGTTCGTTTCCGTACCATCGTTATTTGTTAGTTTGTTAGTTTATGTTGTGTAGATACTGCAGCTGCAACTTCCAAGTGACATAGGGCTTTTGATCAATTTTCTCTCTCCTAATGTAGGAAAAGCCTCTGCTCAAGTTGTTCCAAAGACAAATCAAACACTCACAGCGGGAGAAGTCCTCACCTTGACCTGCAAAGTCAACAGGGAAACCGTCAACATAACATGGAAAAAAGACGGAAAATCATTCAAAGAACGAGCAGCTATATTTACCCGATTAAGTGAGAGAAGGAGTAAACTTGTTATTACTGAGGTTGTAGAAGAGGAAAGTGGTGAATATTCTTGTGAAGCAAGAAACAAGCTCGGAAGTGTGGCTCACTCTTCTGTTATATTGGATGTAAAAGGTAAGCTGGTGTGCCTGTAAGACCATTGCTGTAAACTTATCATCGAAGTTAGAATTCTCTTAAATCTGAGTAAGCTGAGGTGTCAACAGGGACGATATCAATACTAAGTAAAAATATTCTTGAGCCTATTACATTACTTAGGGATAAGATTTGTAACAAATTATTTGATTTCAGACTCCAAAAAAATCCGCTATTTGAGTCAACTCAGTAAATCTGAAAAGACTATTAATGCGAGGAAAAACTATAAGTAATGGCGCCATCATCTGTTGATGAATATGAAATAATTCAGAGTACGCTTGGTACATCTTATCTGGAGTATTTTAACGAAGATATTACTGCTAGAAAGAGATCTGGGAAGTTCAGAGTAGAGCAGAAGGATCTGACAAGGAAAGCGAAACTCAAAAGCTATTTTTGCATGTGATAGAAATCTTATCAATCTTGAAAATGAGCAAGGTAATGGAGACACAAAAACCTGCTTCAATTCCTGAACGAAATATGCTGTGAAATGGCGATCAAATGTTCGCAATAACTCCTTTGGAAATTTACCTCTCTTGCATCTATCCACAGAGTAAATTTGCAGAACTTGTTAATTCGTAATGAGACTAGGTCAATTGAAACGTTCTGAGGACATTATTTAAAAGGCCACATCTGGATCGGCTCGTTTCCATACTATCGTTACTTGTTTGTTTGTTAGTCTATTTTGTGTAGATACTGCAGCTGTAATTTCGAAGTGACATAGGGCTTTTAATCAACTTTTTCTCTCATAATGTAGGAAAAGCCTCTGCTCAAGTTTTTCCAGCGACACATCATTCACTCAGAGCTGGAGAAGTCCTCACATTGACTTGCAAAGTCAACAGGGAAACCGTCAACATAACATGGAAAAAAGATGGAGAATCATTAAAAGAACGAGCAGTTATAGATACCCGATTAAATGAGAGAAAGAGTAAACTTGTTATTACTGAGGTTGTAGAAGAGGACAGTGGTGAATATTCTTGTGAAGCAAGTAACAAGCTCGGAACTGTTGCTCAGTCTTCTGTGATATTGGGTGTAAAAGGTAAGCTGGTGTGCCTGTAAGACCATTGCTGTAAACTAGAACCTTGAGTTTTTATGTTCCTCAGCTTTTCCTTA